CAGCCCCGGGGGTGGGGCAAGTCTGGAGCTCACGGAGGACCAACTGTCGAGTCTCAGCTCTGGCGACATGGTGGAGATGGACGGGGAACTCTACCTGGTCGACCTGACCCCCGACCCCAGCGGGGGGGACAAACAGTTCCTCTCCTTCCTTCCCGTCAACAGCAACCCTTGACCAGTCCCTCTCCTTCCTTCCTTCCTTCCCGTCAACAGCAGCCCTTGACCAGTCCCTCTCCTTCCTTCCTTCCTTCCCGTCAACAGCAGCCCTTGACCAGTCCCTCTCCTTCCTTCCTTCCTTCCTTCCTTCCTTCCCGTCAACAGCAGCCCTTGACCAGCGGCTAATTCTTGTCTACAACGGGCCTAAGGAAACACGTGGTGGTGGTTAAGGAAACATGTGGTGGTGGGCTGGAGGAATCTCTCTGTGGCCACCGCAGGAGAAAACTCGAGCAGAGTCAAGGGCTATTTAAGGAGACAAATCTAGGAGACAGTTTATGAGACAAACATGAAATCTAGGAGACAGTTTATGAGACAAACATGAAATCTAGGAGACAGTTTATGAGACAAACATGAAATCTAGGAGACAGTTTATGAGACAAACATGAAATCTGGGAGACAGTTTATGAGACAAACATGAAATCTGGGAGACAGAGTTTATGAGACAAACATTAAATCTAGGAGACAGTTTATGAGACAAACATGAGATGAATTGCCTCCTCCAGCACCGTAGGTCACAGTCACTGTTGATTCTAGGTGGACTTGTAGGTCAGTCACACACACACACACACACACACACACACACACCCCGCCCCCCGCCCCGGCAGTGCTACTGACTGAAGTGTCTTTAGGCCAAGGGGGGATATTAACATGTTCTTATGCACAGTAGAATTGTCAATGGGCTGATTCATCAAGGTCATGCTCATACTGTGCCGGGAACATGTTCTTATGCACAGTAGAATTGTCAATGGGCTGATTTATCAAGGTCATGCTCATACTGTGCCGGGAACATGTTCTTATGCACAGTAGAATTGTCAATGGGCTGATATATCAAGGTCATGCTCATACTGTGCCGGGAACATGTTCTTATGCACAGTAGAATTGTCAATGGGCTGATTTATCAATGTCATGCTCATACTGTGCCGGGAACATGTTCTTATGCACAGTAGAATTGTCAATGGGCTGATATATCAAGGTCATGCTTATACTGTGCCGGGAACATGTTCTTATGCACAGTAGAATTGTCAATGGGCTGATTTATCAATGTCATGCTCATACTGTGCCGGGAACATGTTCTTATGCACAGTAGAATTGTCAATGGGCTGATATATCAAGGTCATGCTCATACTGTGCCGGGAACATGTTCTTATGCACAGTAGAATTGTCAATGGGCTGATATATCAAGGTCATGCTCATACTGTGCCGGGAACATGTTCTTATGCACAGTAGAATTGTCAATGGGCTGATATATCAAGGTCATGCTCATACTGTGCCGGGAACATGTTCTTATGCACAGTAGAATTGTCAATGGGCTGATTTATCAAGGTCATGCTCATACTGTGCCGGGACAACAGTGTTTTACTCACCAAACGGGGGTGGGGAGGGGGGGCAACTAGATGGTGAAATGCTAGATAGCAGCTCTCAGTTCTGTCACAATTTGTTCTTGTTGACTGTCAGTATTTTGCCTTCTGAGTCAGTCCATGTAAAGTCACCGTGCACAGTCCACTGACAGTCCATGTAAAGTCACCGTGCACAGTCCACTGACAGTCCATGTAAAGTCACCGTGCACAGTCCACTGACAGTCCATCTAAAGTCACCGTGCACAATCCACTGACAGTCCACTGACAGTCCATCTAAAGTCACCGTGCACAGTCCACTGACAGTCCATCTAAAGTCACCGTGCACAGTCCACTGACAGTCCATCTAAAGTCACCGTGCACAGTCCACTGACAGTCCATCTAAAGTCACCGTGCACAGTCCACTGACAGTCCACTGAGGTGACCAGTGGAGTGGAAGAGAGTGCCCATACAGCTCTATCATCTACTATGTACTTGTCTGATATCATCTACTATGTACTTGTCGGATATCATCTACTATGTACTTGTCGGATATCATCTACTATGTACTTGTCTGATATCATCTACTATGTACATGTCTGATATCATCTACTATGTACATGTCTGATATCATGTACTATGTACTTGTCTGATATCATCTACTATGTACTATGTACATGTCTGATATCATCTACTATGTACATGTCTGATATCATCTACTATGTACATGTCTGATATCATGTACTATGTACTTGTCTGATATCATCTACTATGTACTATGTACATGTCTGATATCATCTACTATGTACATGTCTGATATCATCTACTATGTACTTGTCTGATATCATCTACTACATACTATGTACTTGTCTCACAGTCATGGAAGACGACAGATTTTGACCTTTTTGCTTTTGTGGAATAGAACCCCAGGGGGAGACAACTCAGCCGTGCCAGTTGTGGGCTGGGCTTTGGGAGGACTTCCTCCTCTTACGGTACACGAGAGATAGGGTTTGAGGAATATTGGAGACACGAGAGATAGGGTTTGGTGAAATATTGGAGACTCGAGATAGGGTTTGGTATAGGAATATTGTGGGTCATTCGTTCCTTGATTGAGAACGTGCGTATGATGGAGGTTGGAACGTCCTGTCTCACTGGCAATGACGGCTGTGAACGTTCACAACTTCTGTTCCCACTGCTTACCAAGACTGTGCTCCTCAACTGTGACAGATATTATAACCTTTTTTTTTCTGTCACTGAAATGTATGTATAATTTTGTACATATTATGTATAATACACATGCCACTTGTTTATGGAAAGAAAATGTGTTTGTTCATGTTACTTTCTCGTATTAAACTTGACCAACATGACTCAACATGACTCAAGTCTGCATTTGTTTCTTCTTCTCGTCGTTCGTGGAGTGGAAGGAGGCGTTGGAATGTTGGCTTGTTCTTATATATATATATATATATATAGAGAGAGAGAGAGAGAGACAGAGAGATCTGTAGTGATCTAACTAGACAGACCTGTTGGGTTGCTCTCATATATATATAGAGAGAGAGACAGTGAGAGACAGAGACAGAGTGAGAGAGACAGAGAGATCTGTAGTGATCTAACTAAACAGACCTGTTGGGTTGTTCTCATAACTGAGATTCATGGGTGGTAGGTGGGTGCTCCGGTGTGGTTTGCTCCTTCTTTCATGTTAAACTCGATCATCCCTATCTCTCCTCCTCTTTTTCTTTGTATATTATTACTCTATGGTAACACCTCTAATCTTTGGCACTTATATGACACATTTGTGTTTCAAGTGGCGTAAAACTCGTACGAAAACAAAACCAACGCCTTGATGAGCCTCGCAGCGACGCACAGTCTGTACAGGTCCATGGACAAGTTCACTGGTCGGCTGACACACAGTCTGTACAGGTCCATGGACAAGTTCACTGGTCGGCTGACACACAGTCTGTACAGGTCCATGGACAAGTTCACTGGTCGGCTGACGCACAGTCTGTACAGGTCCATGGACAAGTTCACTGGTCGGCTGACGCACAGTCTGTACAGGTCCATGGACAAGTTCACTGGTCGGCTGA